CAAGTATACCAAGACTTAGTCTAAATCCTTCCCCAACAGTGTTGGCATTTGTGCAAATTGTCTCAATTAACACTTCATTTTCCAGGCAATCTAAAGACTTCTATGACACCATTCTCTTCTTGGATTGATTTTTTGAAAAGACTAAGTTCCATTTATAATGTAATATAAAACCTGTTCTAAGAAAAAAAATTTCACCCCACACCTATGTGCATATTTACATATACACCACCCTCAACAGACACAACCTTTTAAATATTCCTTCCTTCCTTTTAAATAAATAAGACTTATCTTGTCTTATATGATTCCTTGTGGTTTATTGATTGTTCTTTGTAATATCTCTTCGGATTTCATCTAATTTCACATATAAATAATTATTTAAATGACTTTAGACTGATAAGAAAATGCTATAATAATTAAAACAATTGAACGTTGATGAAGCATATGTAAGATGATATTTAAAATGTCACATGTATCATTCTTATTCTGGAAAAATTAACTGGATACTACTATGAGAACAAGACCTAATCAGTTTACTGTCTTTCCATAGAGTGTACACAATTGGCTACATATTTAGGTCAGATATGCTACTGCATCTCTACTATATTGCATAAGAACAACCACAGATTTGAGGATAAGGTTTTCAAAAGTCTAACAATAAAACTGGCCTCAAAAAAAAAGAATTTAACTATTATAGGGTGCCTTCTCTCTTCTAAGATTAATGGTTCTGTGCATTCAAAATTATTATGAAATGAGTAGGTTTCACCATCTATATAAGATAATGAGAAAGATTTGTAAATGATGTGTCACAAGATGATTTAGAAATGTGATTCTTCCACAGCTGGAACTTAGGTAGCCAACAGGAAGACACAGGTAAGGAAGTGTAAGTATCTCATCACATTGGAGATTCCCATGTTGCACATGAACAGCTATGTAACTGGGTTAGAAATTTAGATCTGGACTGCAAAAGTGAGGTCAACAGAAATATAATTACTTAAAACATGTCCATGCAACGTAAAGTAGACATGTTTTAGTGTTTGATATGCCCAGAGTCATGATCTGCAGAAAACAGTAAATGTGCTGAATGAATGAATCTTTTTATATACATAAAAATCCTCTGGATAAAAAAAATATATATATAGGAAAATATATAGGCATATCTTGGAGATATATGCCAGTTTGTTTCCAGACTACCATAATAAAGCAAATAATACAATAAAGTCAGTCACACAAATGTTTTCTCAGTGCATATAAGTTACTTTTATACTATTCTGTAGTCTATTAAGTAAGCAACAGTATTATGTCTAGAAAAACAATGCATATTCCTTAATTTTAAAATACTTTATTACTAAAAATTGCTAACAATCATCTGAACCTTAGCAAGTCATAATCATCTTGCTCGTGACCCCCGTGGAGGGTCTTTCCTAGATGTTGATGACTGCTGACTGATTGAAGTGGTGGTTGCTGAAGGTTGGGGTGGCTGTGCCAATTTCTTAAAATAAGACAATAATGGGGGCTCAGCATAGTGTCTCAGGCCTGTAATCCCAGCACTTTGGGAAGCTGAGGTGGGTGGATCACCTGAGGTAAGGAGTTGGAGATCAGTCTGGCCAACATGGTGAAACCCCATCTCTACTAGAACTACAAAAATTAGCTGGGCGTGATGGCATGTGCCTGCAATCCCAGCTACTCAGAAGGCTGAGGCAGGAGAATCACTTGAACCCAGGAGGCGGACGTTGCTGTGAGCTGAGATCACACCATTGCACTCCAGCCTGTGTGATGAGAGTGAAACTCCCTCTCAAAAAATAAAAAATAAAAAGACAACAATGGGGAGTCTCAGAGCCTACTCTAGCTCTAGAGGCTGCTTGATACATGAATCATTCATTGCTAAATTAAATTATTTAAATTTTAAAAAGGCAACAATGAAGTTTGCTGTATGAATTGACACTGCCTTTCATGAAAGATTTCTTGGTTACTAGTAATGATGTTTGAGAGCATTTTACCCGCAATAGGACTTCTTTCAAAATTGAAGCCAATCCTCTCAAACCCTGCTGCGACATTATGAACTATGTTTTTGAAATATCTAAATCCTTTGCTGGTATTTCAACAATGCTCACAGCCTCTTCACCAGAATAAATTCCATCTCAAGAAAGTACTCTGGCCCACACACACCCAGGGCTGAGCAAAAAGCTTAGACATTCCACAAACCAGCTCATTGTCTGAGATAACAGAGAGCTTCTCCCAGTAAACAAGGACCAGGTGTACACCTCATTGCATTGGCTACAGCCAGCTCTTACGTATAAGCACCATATACTGGCTTGTAGGTCGAACTGCACAGCCCAGTATAAAAGCTGCCAAAAGAAGCGCATAAGGCTACAAGCAAAGTCAAAAGACCCTACCCTGCATTCTCTACAACCACACCCTTTAGGGAGGAAAGAGAAAGGGAAAAGGAAAGAACAAAAAATATCATAGTGAAAGAAAAAAATCTACCTGCACTAAAATAATCACAAATTTTGAAGTGCCAGCATATCCAGATGGGAAAGAATCAGCACAAGAATTCTGGCACCATTAAAAATCTGAATGTAGTGACAACACCAAAGAATCACACTAGCTCTCCATTAATGGTCCCTGAACAAAATGGAAACTCAGAAATGACATATAAATAACCCAAAGCATTGACTGTAAGAAAGCTCAGTGAGATTGAAGACAAGGTTGAAAATAACACAAAGAAACTTTTAAAGCAATACAGGAAACGATGAAACAAAGAGTTTCAAAGGAAATCAATCAGAGCTCTGGAGCTGAAAAACTCACTTAAGGAATTTCAAAATACAATTGATAGTTTTATTGATAGACTAGACCAAGCAAAAGAAAGAATTTCAGAGCTTGAAGACTGGTCTTTTTAACTAACCCAGTCATACAACTATAAATTAAAAAGAACTTTAAAAAATGAACAAAGTCTTCAAGAAGTATGGAATTATGTAAAGAGACCAAATCTACAAATTATTGGCATTCCTAAGAGAAATGTAGAAAAGTATCCTGGAAAACACATTTGGGGGAATAATTCAAAAAAATTTCCTTAATCTTGCTATAGAGATAGACATCAGATATGAACAATTCAGAGAATACCGATAAGATACTTTATAAAAAGAACATCGCCAAGGTGTACATTTATCAGATTGTCCAAAGTCATAGTAAAGAAAAAAATCTTACAAGCAGCTAGAAAAAAACAGATCAGATCAGGTACAAAGGGAACCCCTTCAGGCTAATAACAAACTTCTCAGCAGAAAGCTTACAAGCCAAAAGAGATTGAGGGCCTATTTTCAGGATTCTTAAAGAAAAGATATTCCAGCCAGGCATGGTGGTTTTTGCCTGTAATCCCAGAAGTTTGGGAGGCAGAGGTGGGGGAATCACTGGAGGTGAGGAGTTGAGACCAGCCTGGCCAACGTGGTGAAACCTTGTCTCTACCAAAAATATAAAAATTAGTCGAGTATAGTAGCATATGCCTGTAGTCCCAGCTACTCAGGAGGCTGAAGTAGGAGAACTGTTTGAAACCTGGAGGCGGAGGTTGTAGTGAGCCAAGATTGTGCCACTGCACTCCAGCCTGGTGACAAAGTAAGACTCTGTCTCAAAATAAAAACAAAAAGAAAGAAAAGAAATTCCAACCAAGAATTTTATATCTCATGAAACTAAGCCACTTAAGCAAAGGAGAAATAAAATATTTTCTAGACAAGGAAAAACTAAGGGAATTTGTTACCACTACACCAGCCTTACAAGAGGTCCTTAAGGGAGTACTAAATATGGAAACTAAAAATAAATAGCTCCAACCTCATACTTCAGTGCCTAGCCCACAGACTCTGTAAGTGCAACCTCACAATAGAAACAACAAAGCAACAAGCTAACAATTTCATGATGGAATCAAAACCTCACATATTAATATTAACCATGAATGTAAACAGTCTAAATGCCCCACTTAGAAAGTACAAACTGGAAAGCCTGGATGAAAAATCAAGACCCCTCCCTCTGCTGTTTTCAAGAGACCCATCTCACATGTTGCAATACTCATAGGCTCAAAGTAAAGGGTTAGAGAAGGATCTATCATGCAAATGGAAAGGAAAAAAAAAGTAGCTATTCTTATGTCAGATAAAACATTTTAAACCGAGAGTAAAAAGTGACAAAGAAGGGCATTACAGAAAGTGTCCAATTCAACAAGAATACTTAACTATCCTAAATACATACGCGCCCAACATTAGATGATGCAGATTCATAAAACAAGTACTTCTAGACCTATGAACAGACTTGGATAGCCACACAATAATAATAGGTAACATCAACACCAGACCAACAGCATTGGACAAATCACCAACGCAGAAAACTAACAACAACAAAAAAAAATCTGAACTTAAACTCAACACTTTGCAAATTGGACCTAATAGATATCTACAGAATACGCCATTCAATAACCACAGAATATACGTTCTTTTCATTTGCACACAGAACGTGTGTCGAGATCGACCACACGCTCTGTCATAAAGCAAGTCTTGATAAGTTCACAAAAATTAAAATCATACCAACCACACTGTCAGACCACAGTGGAATAAAAATAGAAATCAATACCAAGAAGATCTGTAAAAACCACACAATTACCATGTGTCATTAAACAACTTGCTCCTAAATTACATTTGGGCAAACAATGAAATTAAGGCAGAAATCAAAAAATTCTTTGAAATAAATGAAAACAGAGACACACATACCAAAATCTCTAGGATACAGCAAAAGCAATGCTAAGAGTAAAGTTTTTAGCACTAAACACCTATCTCAAAAAACACATTTTTTTTTTTTTGCTATAAAAATGTTTTATTAGGCCAAACTACTTACTATGAAAATGCTCTAAAATGCAGCAGGAGGAGATATAAAGACTCAAAGAAGTGTGTAGTGACAATGGCTATCAGAACACACTAAAGAATCCACACCACTTCCCTCTTTACCTAGAAAAGGAAGCTTCTAGGCTACCTCCTCCTCAGCACACTCCTGAAACTCCTCCTCCTCAGCTGTGGCACTTGGTATTGCTGGTATTCTGACACCAGGTCATTAAGGTTGCTCTCAGCCTCGGTGAACTCCATCTCATCCATGCCCTCGCCCATGTACCAGTGCAGGAAGGCCTTGCGCCTGAGCATAGCTGTAAACTGTTCGGAGGTGCATTTGAAGAGCTCTTGGATGGCTGTGTTGTTACCAGTGAAGGTGGCCAACATTTTTAGCTCCCGGGGTGGGATGTCACAGACGGCTGTTTTCACGTTGTGAGGGAGCCGTTCAGCAAAGTAGCTGCTGTACTTATTCTGAATGTTGAACATTTTCTCATCCACCTCCCTTGTAGACATGCGACCTCTGAAAATGGCAGCCACGGTTAGGTAGTGGCCATGACGGGGGTGACAGGCGGCCATCATATTCTTAGCATCAAAGAGTTGCTGAGTGAGCTCAGCCACGGTCAGGGCCCAGTACTGCTAGCTGCCCTGGCTGGTCAGCGGGGCAAAGCCGGGCATGAAGAAGTGCAGCCGGGGATTGCAGCTCCCACTGAAAGCACAGAGAATGAGAGGACGCCACACTTTCAGATCAATTTTTGTTGCTCACACACCAGGAGATTCCCAGCGGAGGTGCCCCACGGGTCGCCAGCGCGACTCTTGAGGCCAGTGAGGCGATTTTGCCGCTGCCTTGGTGCGGCGGTTCTCGGTGCAGAGTCAGAAAAGCACCATCAATCTTAAAGCCGCTGTTTTGGCTGGCGCAGTGGGTTGCTCAGATTTTAGCGCCGGGAATCAACAAGTCGGACGTCCATTCAGAAACCCATCTATAAAGACGGTAATTATAAAGACCACAGATAGATACATTTATAACGAAGGCAAGAAACCAGCCTAAAAAGGCTGAGAATACCCAAACTCAGAACGCCTCTCCCTCTACAGGGGATCACAGTTCCTCATCAGCAACAGAACAAGGCCTGATGGAGAAAGACTGTGTTCCATTAGCAGAAG